AAAAAAAACGATAAGATTTGTTGCTACCTGACTTTTCGCAGCCTTCCGGTAGAGGTCGATGCACTTTACCAACGACTGATTGTCCTCCGTACCCGTGGATCGGGCGAACAGACAACCACTCAAACTGCTCACACAGCCGTAAACATTCCACTTTTCAGAGTCGTAACTTCATACCAAAAGTGTATTCCTATTCACTGTTAGAGAAATGTTTGTAAAGTTCAGTGTTGCGCGAGCATTTCCATATCTTCATGTCTTCCTTCACTTAGTTACCCCTAGCATCTCTTAGGTAGACCCTCATGCGCCACTGTTTTACCTGTTTTGCATTGTTTTGAAGATACAAAACCGACGTAACCTAAGTTTTTTCCTTGTTTTTGCAGTCAAGCGACAACTGGTTAGCAAAAGTCACAAACAGTCCTCTTGCGATGAGCGAAACTGGTGTACGGCGAATATTTAGAAGGATGACAAACAAACTAACTGCGATGACTGCGATACGCACACGAATCAGACGACACACACCCTGAGTAGCGTTCCTCGCCGATACCGTACTGTTTCTGTACTTTTCGGCTGTCTAAATTCTCGTCCAAGCGTTTCTTGAACCGCCTCCACTCGTGTGGCGTAGCCTCAATCCCCCATAACAAAAGGGCAAACATAGGAACTACAGTGAATCAAGTGACTACTCACGATAGCGCCTCACCGAGAAACTTCACCGAACCGGCGCAGCGCCGGCGCCGCCGACAGCCACGCGTGTTTCTTTACTGCTGATGCCGGCCGCTGATTGCTACTGTAGGGTTGCCCACGTCTATTATGGAGATGTTCGTCTCGTTTTCGGACGTTCCCATGACTTTTTGCCGATTTCTCACGCTCGCTGCACATATGAAACGCAAACACTGCTGAGTGGACCGTAAACCGGTACGGAGCCTCCGCCTGATTGCCCTCTGTGTGGACAATGCGACTAAATTAAAATTCAGCTTTTCCTGCTTCTGCTCGCACCGCAACCTGCTATGCAAAATTTTAGAATTTTTTGTCAATTGCGCACGTGAGCCTTATTTTTGGTCTGAGCTGTATTTTGAGATGACGCGCTGTTCGCCACGAAAGTCAGCCAGAATTGAGTACCCAAACAGACTACTAGCCGTGTTTTCGGTTTCCGGCTGACACCTCTCCCACACCATATTCCTGTTTTTACCCGAGTCTACCCAAATATTTTGGACGATCCGGTATGTGGCCCTCCATGATGTTATGCCTTCTTACCTCCCGTGCAGTTGACATTCGCCGACTGTTGTCGACGATCGGCAAAGAATTAGCTAGCACAATTTGATAGGGCAAATTTAATGCAAATTCAATTGGTACGCATAACTTTTGTAGAATGGTTAGAAGGAACCATGGACAATGTTTTGCGCCTTCGCCCAGCGCACCCTAACCAGTTCTTACCATAACTTTTTGTTATGCAACAATTCCGGCGTTTCAAAACCGGGTGCAGGTTGGAGCAACAACCGAAACAGAATAACAACATTGAAAACGACGGGGAGTCGATTATAGAGTAGAAAGTAGTGCGGTACACACTTGAAGGTTTGTAGAAAATATGTTACAAAAAACCAGTTTCTTGGCTCGAGGGGGACGGCAGCACTCGTTGGAACTCTAGCAATTTTTGCAGGTGTTCGCGTGGCAGATTCTTCGCGAATCAGTGACGGATGAAGAGCTTCGCAATGTGCAAATCAGCTTACGTACATTCCATGGAGAGACGGCATCTCACCTCCTCACCAGGCAGCTCCCTAAGGTCTCGAATTCTGGAAGCGCATGCTGTTAATCGGAAAAAATCGATGCACTAACACGTTTGGCCAAGATTTTGAAAGAGTGGACATATGCTGGGGCACTACCGTAATGTACTTATCTCATTGTTCGTTAGTTCTTCTTAATGGGGAAGGTCATTCGATCCCGAACAGTTTTTTGGTGAAACCAACCAGCAGAAAAGTGCAAACCTGGGGGTCGCCGTCAAACGACCATTATAAAATCATTTTGTGTGTGTGTCTCTCTCTCTTTTCAGTGTGTGGGCTCGATTTGAGTGCAAGACCCTGTTTGCTTCCTTTTGCTACTCACACACAGTACATGTACAGGTTTAAGAGGGGGCACACTGTTGTCATTTCAGATTCGACTTGTGGTCGAGGCCACGATGAAGTATTTCAAGTGGGACTCACTTCCAGAGGAAAGTCAACTGAGCAAGGCAAAGCTCATACTCAGTCATTTGAAAAACAACGCCAAAGTTCGCAACTGGACGCTGCGTGAGGGCAGACCAAATAGGTGAACCAAGATCGCTTTCGAACGGGCATTCTTTTGTGAAGTGCTAAGCAGTTTAGGAATTTGGCAAGGTTTTTGGCAAAGAGCATGCAATCAAAAGGGTCAATTTTGCTTGTCCTTGTAATTTCCTTTGTCTGAAGTTTTC